GCCTAGAATAGTGCTGTGGGGTTACCTGACCCCTTTGACCTCCCCGGGTGACCTTCTCATCTGCATGTCTCCCAGGGTTAAATGCAAAGCCACACTGAAGGCATTAACCCAGTGACCTCCTCTGTTGTACGTGTTGATTCGTCGGACACTTCATCGTCACTCAGTCACCAACAAAAGCTTTTATAATAAGCTCTAAGAAACTCCAGTTAATACACTGCTGTATGTCCGATGCTAGGTGCTGTGAATGGGACGTTTGAGTGCAGTTGCCAATAGTCGCCTCTAGGTCTGAATGGACCGTTACTGTTAAATAGCTACTGATCATCAGATGAGGTCTTTGGTCCTGCAGGCTGCAGTGCTGGTCAGGTGAGTGGCCCTAGGGGCTGAGTGACTGCCACGAGGTAGCACCACTCCTCCCACAGTCCCTGATCTGCCCAGCATGTACAGGGGCTTAGGGCAAAATCCAGGGGTATTATCTCCACTGCACTTCCACCTCTACCACCCACTGCTTTCCTGCAACGTATGTGCCATGTGATTCTTTAGAAATGCTTTAACTTTTTGCCTTAAAAATAAAAGTGTATTGCATGAACTACAGCATGGAATAATTGTGTAATTCCATAGTGTAGCTGTTAGCACGCCTGTCTCACAAGCGAGTCCTGGGTTTATTTTTTTTATTTGCATGCAAAATACCTTTAAACATAACATTAGAAATGTTATAAATAAAAAAATAGAATTTTGGAGTTTGAATATTTTTACATTTTTAAGACTTCTTGCATTGGTAGCATTTCACATTTTACATCAATGCTTATTTATTTGGTTTATATTTTTATTATTTATTTATTTATTTTAAATCTAATCTAGACTGCAGGCAAGACAGAGTGTCTTTGCACATGCACACAAAAACCTGCTGATTGGATAAAAAAAACTTTTTACTTTTCAGTCTGGCTTTCATAAGTCTCTTGTTCTCGTTGGAGCTAAAGGAAGAATCCATGTTGTTAAAAAGGTGACGGAGGGCAAAAGTGCCTCCACCCAGCTCACTGTAGGGCTCCTCTCCACAGGACGGGGCTTTTAAAAAGCGAGCTTATATTTCATTTCCTTATTCCTCACAGCCCACTGTGTGATCTACCTCTGTCCATGACTCAGACTCTGTCACTCTATCTTTAATCAGCCACAATCCATTTACACTTCACTGACGTCTCACTCCCTGACTTCAGATGTCATGTGTGGGTGCTGACGAGACAAGGATCTGATGTGTGTGTGTGTGTGTGTGTGTGTGTGTGTGTGTTTGTGTGGAGGGGGTTCAACAGCAAATGGTAGCTGAGAGATAAGACTGATAGGTAGGCAGCAGAATGAGTTAATAAATAAAATAATCCAGATTTGTAATCAGATGACATCATTGGCCTTAGGCTGTTAATGCACTGAAGTGTGAGGAAAATCACAGTGTATCCACCAAACAAGATAGAAGTACATTAAAAAACATGTTTGTTTTTTTCTTGACCTTTACAGATCGCTGGGTTTACAGATGGTTGGATGGAAGTCTGTGAACACGTCATAATTGCTTCAGCATCAGTGAGGATAACATGGCACTACAACAAGTCCAGGGTAAGTTCATATTCTACTATTTACTTGAGTCAATTGGGGTCATGTTGCTGTCTTTGAACGCTTCCACCGCTGATGTGTGTGTGGTTCTGCCTCTCTCACAGGCCAAACGTTACAGGGTTGCAGCTGCAGGGTGGGCTCTGTTTGGTACTGTGTTTCTCTTCACGTTTATGGCATAGAGATATTTACCATTTCTTGTATATTTAATTTAATGGTGTTGCTGATGTAAAGTGAGATGGAACAGATTCCCGCTGCACTGAGAGACAAATGCAGAACAGGTTTGCACTGTTTCCTCTCATCAGAGTTAGACAAGATGAACACGTTAAAACAGTGGATGTGCTGAGGCATGTTTTCACCCTGCTGCCGGCTGCATGCTTTGGCTCAGGGGACAAGGTGGCAGCATGAGTGTGTGTGTGTGTGTGTGTGTACATGCTCATGTGAAGGGGGCTAAGGTGGGGCAGTGGCAAGGAGAACAGGCAACAACTCACAGGCTTGATGCCAGGTGAGATAATGACAGCGCCGCTAAGGATTTGGGGTAATGGGGGCGATAGTAGATCGCTGTGGAAACTGTGATGTCATCAAGACATTTTGGCTCTTAGCTAGACTAACTGGTTTTATAAGGTGGTTCCTTAGCTTAAGGAGACACAAGGGGGGAGGAATGGGAGATAAGACAGAAAGTGGTTCAGGTGAGGTGAAGATAAGTTTATACGAGTGTATGGATGCAGGAAGTACTGCGATGGAGCGATATGGAAGGGATTACGTGATATTTAGCTTGTTCTCCGTATGCGTTGCGTACAACATGGGAGTCATATCTACATGGACAGCGTTGTGAAGGCACTCTTCACTGAAATCTATGATAGAACCCCTCCCACTTCTCCACCCCTTCTCCCTCCTCCTAGTCCCCCATATTACAGCCCCTGTAAAATCACTTTACAAGCACGTAGCCTCAGCACCCGCTTCACCTACCTGTGACTGCAGCTACACTAGCGCCACACGCCGTTGGCTAGTGGCCATAAATCCAGCATGGAGAGCTCATTTAACTGCACGACTGCATACCCACACCTGACAATCTGGGGGCAAGTGTTAGCCATCGTACATTAGTTTTTAACAACAGGGGCCTGGCAAATAAAGAAAGAAAAAAATCATAATCCTAGCACAGCTTAAAAATCAGACTGTATTACTGAGAAAAAGTTTGTGACTTGTTATGCAGGACAAGGCCTGCTTGCACAGGGCTCAGCAGGTTTTAACTGCAGCATTTTAATGGTACATTTAGGAAGCAGTACAGAGAGTCTGAGCTCAAACTGATTGCTGTGCAGTTAAAGAGAAATGACTGTGTTAGCCGAGCGCTGACAGAACCTGGTCCTGGTTAGAGCTGCTGGGCAAAGTCCAGCTCTGTGGGGGAAGAACAAGTATTAAAAACTAATAACAATAATATTGTACTGGAAGCATGATATGAATGCTGTAATATATTCCACATGGATCCTTCAACCTGCCGATCGATCCAAACCTGTACCACCTTATCGTAATATCACCTCCGTAAAGATGCGCAGTATGTGACGTTTCCTGATTCACTATCGCAGTCATGCGTCACTCACACACACGACTCTGAAAATCACATTTAAGTTATCATAAATATGACCTAATGTATCTGAGCGGGGGGCAAAAACACAAAGGCAAAAACAGCTGTTAGGTAATCAACAAAATAACTGAATAACCAAACACTGTTAATATCATTGTTTGCATGCACTTAGCATTGGACTGGAGTATACAAGTCAGACTTCTCTCTTTCAGAGGTTAACCACAGAAACACAACAATGCTTTCTACTACATTAAGGCAACAAAAATGGCCAAGTGTAGCATTTCAGTTTTGGAGGCTTGAGCTCCAGAAAGGCTGCCAGATGTGGAGATGTGAGCCAAGGCTGAAGAGTACGTTCTAATCTTCATATTTTTCCATTCTCAAAAAACACTACGTAGTCTGGCCAATGAGCTCTGTTTGTAAGGCCGAGACACTGACAAACAACTATCAGGACTGACTGACGGCAGTGAAGGTGACGTCCCGTGTTTGAGACATTTCTTATAAGAAATACTTTTTCCTTTATTTTACTATTAGAAACAAATGACACGGAGGATGAATATGCTTTTAAACATTGTTTCCCAAACATTTTTTCTTGGGACCCATATTTTAAAAGTCACTAAACTTTGCGACCCATGTCAATATACATTATTCGTAAACACCTGTGAAACATGATGCGAGACGACCCAAAAAGAATTTCTTGCGGCCTACCTGAGGGTTACGACCCAGTCTTTGGGAAACAATGCTTTAAAACACTGGTGTAAATGAAGAAAAACTTTCATCTTATTCCCTTTATCTTCAAAGCGAATCACACCCGGAACCTTCTAGCGGCAGGTGAGGGTACTACCACTACACCATTCTAGTCCGTTCTGAGAGATTCTCTTTTTGACTTTGACCCTTTATCAGGGGTCACCACAGGGGTCACACTAGGTTTGAGTACCCACCTGGGTATACAAAAATAACGTTAACTGAGCATGGCCCAAATTTAAGAGACGTGTATCTGTTGGGTATATATTCTGAACAACATTAGGGGGGCAATAATCTGAAAGCCTCAAGCAACCACTATTTTAGTACCAACATCTTATTTTCTGAATGATTATTTACTGTAACTCTGTCCTAAACAGCCGTGGTTTAACTAGAAGTCCTAAGTCAGTTAAACCAGTAGTTTCAGTGACCTTTTCCGGTCACCCCAACCAGTAGTTTCAGTGACCTTTTACGGGGAATGTGCCCCGTGTTCTGCTCCAGCTTCTGCAGCAGCACAGCAGCATGGCAGCCCAGTCCAGAGGGGCTGCACCAGTCGACAGCCTCCATCAGAGAAAGGGGTTTCTCTCTTGTGACGCAGTCATAACACAGGCCCGGGTGAGCCTTATTTGCTGGACAGATCGGGCAATGTTATGCCTTGACCAGGGTTGACCTGACTAGACGACCACAAGTACTTGGCTGGCTTCCTCTCATTTTTGGGCTGCCAGCCCACCTCCATGTTCTGTGCTCCATTTGGGCTTTCTTGATCCATCCCAAACAAAACCACAAAAGTGGAGGGGCTGATGCAATGAGGTTGCAGAGAAGCTGCACCCGGCCGCAGCAGAGTGAGGTCATAGACTGAATGCCAGAGCCTATACTTGGCACAATGTATGGGAACTGTCTTTGAATCTCTCCCAGCAGCAATACCCCCCCCCCCCATCCCCCCCAGTGTCTTTACTCTCTACTTATCTATCACCCATCTGGTCCAGCGTGGACGTCCTAGCACCTCATCATTGTTCAGACTGAGAACATATGGTATCCATATCACGGTCACTTATGGCTCATCTTAAAATCTCTCAAGATCACATTGAAGTCTGTTCCACCAGAATTCCCACACAGCAAAACTCATTAGTGTTCCTACTCTGTGGAATCAGCGCTGTTGCCAATCTGGGCAACTTAGAGGTAGTTGAGTGTTTAGATACTGTTTCTTCTCCCTCCAAGGGCGTCATGTGGAGCAAAACCTTTAGCATTCTTATGTTACGCTGAAGCAGAAATGAAGCCAAGGAGATTTACTGTTGATCATGGACGTATTGCTCTACATATTCAGAGACGGGGGAGGGCTTCGCTCAAGCGATGGAAGAAAACATGAAAAGTAGTAATGGTACAACAATGTATATTCTGAAAATATCATATTCTACAGCACAGGTGTTAAACCTCTGGCCCAGGGGCCACTACCAGACCGTGAACATTGTAACTTTGGGACAGTGACTAGATACTAATTAAATATTTATTATTGCCTTAGATATTATACAAATATATATATTATTAAATGCCTTTATATAATATACATAATCATATATAAAATGCATATTTTTTATTTATTTTTTGTGGATTTTCCATCGTGGTACTTGGTCTAATAATGTTGTACAGTACAAATACATGTTTAGCAATTATAAAGCCTAAAAAAAAACTCTGTGTAGGGACTTGCTCACAGAGGGCTGTAACACTTCCACAGCTGGGTAACTGCCTGGGCAGGCTCCAGGGGCAATTTGGTTGTACACTTCTGAGTGGTAATATCCCTCTGTTGTACAAACTGTACTGCACTTTTACACATGATGAAACATGCATGGCTTGGGAAAAATATTGCTTGTCAGTCATATATTACCTTGTCCTAACACCTTCACAGACACAAAGGTGCCAGTATTGTCTCCATAATGCTCCCTCTTCCCAGGCTTTAATTCTTTATTTTGCACCGAGCGAGAGAGAGAGAGAGAGAGAGAAAAAAACTCACTTCCTGCATCTGATCGTGTCATGTTTCTGTCTTACACAAACAGGCCCTTGTCTCGCGGTGCAATTTACCTGTCCTGTAGCCATGAGGGCTGTTGTTCCCCCCTGCTTCGTCAGAGTACAGAGCACAGTTCATTTGGAGGACAAGCTTATATAGAAGCTGCCGTAGTGATGCGCCGCCACCACCGCCGCCTGAAAACGAGACCAAGTTCATGTGATCAGATGTGATGTTTGTAGAAATCCTGGTGGGTGCTCACACGGGCATACCTGCATTATCTTTATCAAGGTTGTGTTTTGTGAAGTTTTGAACTTTCACATTGGCATGTGATAAAAACATTTCCAAAATATCATTTTCACCACGAATGTCCTGGTCAAATCATGCCGAAGTACTTTAGTTAAACCTATTTTCCAAGGGTACTTCAAGGCACTAACACAGAGGACTCTCCTTTTTGGGAAGCCTTCTCAGGTGTGGTGCCAATGTAATAAGTTCAGCTGCCCCGCCCTGACTGCCTACTGTGTCAAATACCTGAGGCAGAGGGTAATGAAAGGTGTATGAATTCATGCTGCTCAGACTTGTTTGGCCTGTCACTGTAGCTGCAGAGTATCAGGCCAAATGAAGCGTCAGCAGCAGCAGCACTGTATCTGCCCGCTCCCCTCCATCCCCTGGTGTGTATGTCTTGAG